TTTCCTTTCCTTTCCTTTCCTTTCCTTTCCTTTCCTTTCCTTTCCTTTCCTTTCCTTTCCTTTCCTTGTTTTGTAGAGGTTCTGCTACCAATTCAGCTTATTTGTTACTGTGTTTCTTTAATGCTGGTTATATGTTAGGGAGGGGAACTGAAAGCAACTGTAAATAATTATTTAATTGTTACATGTCTTACTGTTCTGGCAGTCACCGCAGATCTACACGTGATACTCAAAATTATCTGTAGCACCATCCCTACCACTTTTCCTTCTAAACTGTATCCGTTCAATTACTCTGTCTTTTATACTGGAGAAATAGGATTTTGAAGACTTGAAAGTTAATTTTTTATAAGAATTTGATATTTTTATTAATTTGCATTTCTATTATTCTGCAGACGGCTCCTGCAAAGACTTTGGACTCTGCATCCTTTTTTTTTTTTTTCCTTTGTCATATTTAACTACTCAAAGAGGCAGTGACAGCAGAGTATAAAGTTTAGACTTTCCCTACCAAAAGTGGCCTTTATATGATATTTTCATTGTCTAAAAAGTGTGATAAAAGTATAAAAAAAAAAAGTCTCTCAAGGATGTATTTTGTACTGGGGCTCCTGGGTGTCTCCGTCAGTCGAGTGTCCAAGTTCAGCTTGGGTCATGATCTCCCAGCTCATGAGCTTGAAGCCCCCACATCAGACTCTCTGCTGACAGCACAACACAGAGCCTGCTTAGGATCCTCTGTCCGCCTCTCTTTCTGCCTCTCCCCTGTTTGTGCGTGCGGCCAAGCACGCACGCACGTGCTCTTTCGCTCTCTCAATAATAAATAAACATTAAAAAAAAAGAATGTATTTTGTACTGACCTAAAGTTTTTAAAAATCCATTTTGTAAATATTTTAATATTCAAATATGTTAAGCAAATAACCTTACAAGTTTGAATTCTTGGGAGAATATGTGCAGTGAAATTGGTTAGAATCATAAGCAGGAATTTGAAAATCAACCTGGCCATATGGTTTTACTTAATCCTTTATTTAAAGATCTTCACTTGCTTATTTTTCTCCATTCATAATCTGTATTAGAAAATGGCAGTCTCTTTGATCAGAAATAGCAAATCTCAGCTGGTGAGCTCACTTGACCATGTGAGGAGTGCTGTTTATACCTCCTTCCAGCCATTAGGGCAAGAGAAGCAGTCCAAGTCTGGCCCCAAATGGTTGTGTTTTGGTTTTGGTTTTGGTTTTATATTACATGTTCTCGGAGTCATTTGCTGGTCTCTGGTCCCGTCACTTTATACATCCTGTGAAGAGACATTTACTTAGCCGCATAATCCTAGCCCAGAGTATAGTTGTGAACAAAATGCCCTTGCTTCATGGAGCCTACGTTCTGTTGAAATATATTAGAGTAATGAAAGTATCCAAATACGCATTTTTCTGGGGTTGGAACAGGGTCTAGAAAATTCAAAAAAACCTTAGGTTTAAGTTTTTCATCCCATGTAAGTAAATTGCTCCTCTGCCTAAACAAACGTGTGTTTTCACAGATCCTATCCCAGCAAAGAGGTCCTGCTCACGCGTTACACATTTAAGTAATTTAGAATGACTGTTGTTCGTGTTGCATATTTCCGGGCTCAAGTTTTCTCTGTTTAAAAGTCTGCTTAATGTTTGAAACTGAGATAGAAACATGATGTCTGTTTGAATAACGGAAATGAGTATGGCCGGTGTCTGTTTTATCAGATATAAAAAGTAAAATGACCAACAATGTACCAGTCACAGTTGTGAGTACTTTACACCCAGCAGCTTGTTTGGTACTCATAAGAACCCTACGGATATTGTTTATCACCACATTTTACGGAACAGGAAATTGAGACACAGATAGGTTAAGTAACTTGACGAACATAGAACTGGTAAGTAGCAAAACTTGCAAAAGCAAATTTGTATCTCCAGAGTCATGTCTTCAGTGCTATGCTGTATTGCCTTTCCAGACTAGCATGCCAAGGTAATAACAGTCAAGGAATCCGAGCTGTGCTCTGTGATCTCCATTATCTTTCCTTCTCATCCGTGTGGCTCAGTTTCCCTCCATACGTAAACTGTTTCTCATGCCATCAGTTCCTCGTATGTCGACTCTGTAAATTTTAGATGTAACAAGTTCTAGATTAAGCTCGTTACAGAAAGACGTCAGAGGCGTATAGTTGCTGCACGTTTTTAGGGCTGACAAGACAGTATCCTGATAGATATTGTTTCTTTTTGTCTTCGTTGGGTAGAAAAGAGTAGTTGAACAGCTACGGAAGAACCTGATAGTAAAGCAAGAACAACCAGACAAGTTCCAAATACAGCCATTGCCACAATCGGAAAACAAACTACAAACAGCACAGCAGCAACCACTGCAGCAGCTACAGCAACAACAGCAGTACCACCACCACCACGCCCAGTCAGCTGCACCCTCTCCCAACCTGACCGCTTCACAGGTAAAAGTGTGGGTGGGGTACCGCAGGCTTCCTGTGGTGGGCTCATCTCCTCTTGGTCATGTAGAGCTGGGGTCTGTGTAAGACAACACTGAGCCCCACTAGGACTAGACAGAAGTTGCTTTGGTTACTTTTTTTTATACTATGAACCGGTGCCAAAATCACTTGAAATTCATTGGCGGAAGGGAATGGTGTTACTAAGGCGCAGGAGTCACCTGATTGCCCACCTGCCTAAAGAAGAGGGGGAGCGTAGTCAGTGGCAGAGGAAAACCACTTCTCTGAATTAGAACAGAACTACGGTCTTACTTTGAATTTCTGGAAGTTTTTTGTTTTTGTTTTTGTTTTTGTTTTTTTTTTGCACTTGTTCTAAAAGTCCGTGTGACTCTGCCTCTTCTAGAATGGTTTTTCTGGAATTCTTAGCAGTGAGATGTGGGAATTCCAGGAGCGGCGCCTTTGGAATCAGGTAGAAAGACATTCAGAAGAAGGGTGATACATTTCCATTATTCAGAGAAACAAAATGAGCATATGAATCTGAAGGAAATCTGAAATGGATGCTGTAGGTCTAAACTAGAACTAAGAACTGGAGGCTTACTCACATTCTAACTTGGTACAGCCCTGCAGATGTTTGTACTGAAAAGGCCATTTAAACTAGACTATAAGGATAGAAAGGCAATCAAGATACACAAAAGGGACCTATTTGTGAACAAGGTTCAGTTAAGAACACTACTCAGGCTTGATCTCCACACACCTACGTGTAATGTGGGCATACCTTTTAATGGGACGGTCGAGCAGTGGCTCCTGCTTCATAGGGGTCATGTCCCCTTTAAGACTTCGTTGAAAGCTGTGGGTCCTCTCTCCAGAATGATACACATTCACACCTAATACACTCATTTTTGCACATGATTTCGAGGACATTGGGATGTTCTGAAGCCTAAGCATGAGTACCTCTCACCCACCAGTATCAAGTCTTCACTATATCTTTATATGTGGAGAAAAAGGTTATAGTTTACCCGGTTATTCACTGTGTACGGACATTGGGCTGGTTCATCTGTAACATTTTGCAAGTGAAGAGTACATTACTTCTAAAAATACTAAAGATTATTAAAGAGAAGTAACATTTAGTGGAGGTTGCTATTTACTGCCACTCTCCTGAGTGCTTTACGTAAATAACATACACAGTCCTTACCTGAACCCTAAAAAGGCTATTATTATTATTATTATTATTATTATTATTATTATTATATTTTTTAGAAAAGAAAACCAAGGCATAGAGAGATTAAGTAATTACCGAAAATCATAGAGGTGGTGTATGTGGTAGAGCCAAGATTTGAACCCAGATGTTCCGGTGAAAAAGTCTGTCCATCCATTGCTCTTCTGTACTACCCTATAATACCAAAAAAAGAAATGCCAATGTTATAGAAAATTCCAAAGTAAGAAAAAGAGTAATTCTTTTGTAAATCAGATAGCTAGAGTATAAATTTTACCATCATCTCCACTTCAAGGCTATTTGAAAACGAGGCATCCAGACCCACTTTTAAAACCCCCTGGCCAGGATTTGTATTTCTTCCGAAGGACTGCTTATCAGATTACTTTTGTTGGAGTTGATTAGTTTGTTCTCTTGGAAAAATACAGTTTGATCAGAAAGTGTTTACATGGAAGGAGCGTGGTAGAATTCGTTGTTTCCTAGTATGTGGGAGTTTTCTCTCTTAACCCGGGAACTTCCTGTTCAAGTAACATTCCCTGTCCTACAAATCAGAGGAAATACTTATGGAATACTTCCGATAGCTGTTCCCTTCCCTAGTAATCTCAGTTCTGTGCTGCTTTGGGATGGTGAGTGACGGTAAGGGGGCCAGGGGACCTGATATATTTAATAGATTTAGCTAAGCTTGTTTTATATTATTGTTTTGTTAAATGCAGACCTTTAATGCTAAAAGCCAAAAGACCCTCAAGTTTTTGGTTTCTGTCTTTACAGTAAACCGTCAATATTTGTTGGATGCTCTCGGTGTGCTAGATTCTGGTGGTCCTGGTCCCTGCCTAGAATCTAGTCTATTACCATCATTTTCATTCATTCTGTAAATATTTACTGGGTCTCTATTATATGCAAACACCGTACTAGGCAATGTAGAAGGTAGATTCACAAATAAGACAGAATCTCTGTCTTCGAGAATTTTGAAAGTTTAGAGGAGAGGAAACTGTAAACCACTAACAACGAAGAATACAATGAAAGTACCAGTGAGGATCTGTGAAAAGACCACAGGACAGAGTAATTTTAACTAGACGGATCAGAGATGCTTCATAAATGAGGTGGCATTTGAGCACGATGTGGACAGATGAATGCAATTTCAGTGAGGGGGCAGAGGGGGGAGAGCATCACAGATGTAGAGGACAGTGCGGACAAAAGCATGGAGTCACAACAGTAAATGCGTGCCCGAAGAACATCAAGGAGGCTGATGTGCTGCAGCATGGACTCTGGGAGAGAAAGGGAGAAAGAGACTAGCTTGTAGAAGCCCTCCAATGCGGACAGAACCTTTGGGGTTTGGGGCAGTCATAGGGAGTCATTAACGGTTCGTGCCTCTGGGGCGCCTGGGTGGCGCAGTCGGTTAAGCGTCCGACTTCAGCCAGGTCACGATCTCGCGGTCCGGGAGTTCGAGCCCCGCGTCGGGCTCTGGGCTGATGGCTCAGAGCCTGGAGCCTGTTTTCCGATTCTGTGTCTCCCTCTCTCTCTGCCCCTCCCCCGTTCATGCTCTGTCTCTCTCTCTGTCCCAAAAATAAATAAACGTTGAAAAAAAAAAATTAAAAAAAAAAAAAAGGTTCGTGAACTCGAGGACAAATGAATGGGAGGTTGCATACATCCTATACTAAATATCTAGGTTCAGAAAGGAATGGCTATTAAGTAGCAATTAAGGCAGACAAAGAGGAGATGCTAGGAAGAGAAAGTTTTTTATTCTAGTGTGGACCAAGGCATGGGGAGTGGGGGGACCAGCTCCCTTTACTCAGTTAACTCAAGCTCATCCTTGTATGTAGATTTTAACATTTTTTCAATCTATAGAAAAAAAAGAAAAGAAGGAAAATAGAAAAAAATAGGAAGAGTTGAATGCAGGTATACCCTTCAACTTCTATTCAACTTCTCACAACCCTGTCATTTTTAACGATGTAATACAAATTGAAAGAAGCATGCAGTTAAAAAAACCAAATAGAAAATAAACCCTTAGGGACAAAAAGGGGGTTGGGGTGGTTCTATTTGCAGTCGTCTGAGTGTGAAACAGTTACCTTCTACTCAGAATTAAACGAAAAGAGTCTAAAATAGGTATGGAAGTTCATTAGAGCCCATAGTAATAATCCCTCTAACTTCTCATTTGTTCATTAGAGCCTGTCTGTTTTAAGTCAGAACCTCATGTTCTGCAGGTAAACAACAATAATAACTTGGTAAAAAAAAAATAAATAAATAAAAAGGATTTTGCTTCTAGTGCTTCTTGGCCTGTATTTCGGCATTAACTTCTAGTTGGTGCACTTTGGGTTTTGTCAAAAGTAACCTCTTCATGAAACCGTGTGGAAACTGCTATCTTATCTTGAAGCTGATCACAATTGGGTGGCATCAGCCAGCCAGACACTAACCACAGCTTCCAGAAAAATAATTTTATTTGTTGTTGGACACCTTTCCTCTCTGTGACTTCTCTTCTTCTTGCCAAAAAGGTCAGAGGTTTTCGTTAGCTTTGGATTTCAAAATTCCGGATTCTCTTTGTCATCTAAACTCTAACACTCCCAAGAGTGGTGTTTATATTTCCAGGTACTTAGAATACAGTAAGCACCAGAACAGGGGTAGAGATTTAAGCAATACCTGTGTTAATACCTGGTGTCAATAACTAGTTAGTGAATATATTTTTATTTTTTTTAAGTTTATTTATTTATTTTGAGAGAGAGAGACAGAGGGGTGGAGGGAGAGAGAGAATCCCAAGCAGGCCTTGCACTGCCAGCGTAGAGCCCGATGTGGGGCTCGAACTCAGGGGCTGTGAGATCAAGACCTGAGCTGAAATCAAGAGTAAGACGTTTAACCGACTGAGCCACCTAGGCGCGCCCCATAAATACATTTTTCAGAAAGTTTTCATTGGTGAATATAGCACCAGGTCTTGTGCCTGTGTATACAGAGGATTATGTAGATGCTAGAATACATGTTGTGAAATTGGCTACAAATAAATATAAACTAGAATAAAATGCTAACCTAAGATGCGAACAAATTTGTTAGCTTTCAGGGTTTTTTAAGTGTTGCGGTTAATGGTAAGTATTATAATTCAGGTGAGTTTGAGGTTTTACTCCGTTTTTTAGCATAATCACTTTAGGATTATTCAAAATATTGGTGATAATTTATGTGAACCAAGGACGCCTCAAACAAAATTACATGACCTCTTTCAAAGCAGCGACAGTATGCACCACCAGTTTTTTAAAACCCATGTCAGTGAGTTCTGCTGATTAGAGCTTTTACTTCCATAACCTGTGCTGGGAACAAGATGGAATGCCATCTGTGTGACTTGCTTACCGCTTGAAAAGTTCTTTGTGTTTTAATGTCTTAAACTGAAAGATAGGGCTGATATCACACCAGGTTATGCTCTGTCTCTAAATAAACGTTTAAAAAAAATTTTTTTTTTTTTTTAATTTTCTTTTTCAACGTTTATTTATTTTTGGGACAGAGAGAGACAGAGCATGAACGGGGGAGGGGCAGAAAGAGAGGGAGACACAGAATCGGAAACAGGCTCCAGGCTCTGACGCGGGACTCGAACTCACGGACCGTGAGATCGTGACCTGGCTGAAGTCGGACGCTTAACCGACTGCGCCACCCAGGCGCCCCAAAAAAAATTTTTTTAATAAAAAAATAAAATAAAAAATAAAAACACTTATTATAAATAGCTGGCAATGTAAAGTCAGTTCTTCCTGCTACACTCCCGTAATACTTCTTTTTAAAAAAAAATATTTTAATGTTGATTTATTTTTGAGAGAGAGGGAGAGACAGAGAATGAGCAGAGGAAGGGCAGAGAGAAAGGGAGACACGGAATCCAAAGCAGGCTCCAGGCTGTGAGCTGTCGGCACAGAGCCTGATGCGGGGCTTGAACTCACGAACCACGAGATCATGACCTGAGCTGAAATCTGACACCCAACCAACTGAGCCACCCAGGCACCCCTCCCGTGATATTTCTAATGACATGTAGCATTTAGCTTTGGTTTGGTTTTTATCCTGGATAGATAGCAGATGACCCACTACTTCCCAGGATAAATATCAGCATTCCCCTCTTACTCCCATTTCACCTTTGAGGAGGCGGTGGCAAGGACAATGAGATGCGCCTGTGTTGTTGACTAGAGAAGAGGAAACAAAGATTTGGGTGATTTTAATTACAAGCATTAATAAGGATTGCTCATAGGCTACGATGGGTTAGATGAGGCGAGGTCATTAATTGTTTTCATTGAAAGAAAATAAAGAGGTTAAAAGATCACGTACGTGTGTGTTTACGGCAGAACATAGAAATCATTACCTAGAAAAAAACAACTTAATACACAAGTTCTGACACAGTCACTGAAATAGAAATGCACAAGGGGATTTGTCCAGATGCAAAGGGGACAGCAGGGTCCTTTTCACTGGTCTGGAGCAGTGCTGTCCAGTAGAACTTTCTGTGGTGTTAGAAATCTTCACTGTCCACTTTGGTAGCCACTAACCACAAGTGGCTCTTGAACACTTGAAATGTAGACAGTGTGACTGAGGAACTGATGTTTTAATTTTATTCTGTTTTAATTTGAATTTAAATAGCCATGTGTGGCCGGTAGCTACCAAATTGGACAGTGCAAGTGTAGAATAAGAAGAAAAAGGTGGAGTCGTGTCAAAATCAGAACGAGCATATTGGACCAGATAAACTTTCACGTCCCTGAAACGTTTGGATCTGGAGTGAGTAGCGGCACGAGAGAGGCGTGTAATGCCACGTAGCAAGGTTGTTAGCGTTTTCTTGTTTCATAGCTGGCCCCTTTAATTTCTCTAGTCAGAAGTCTGGAAACTGCGGCTACAGAGCCACAGTGGCACTTCGGGGAGCATCATTCAGCCCCGCCACCTCTGTTCATCCTCTGATCTATAAGCCTTTTTGAAACGCAGGTGTTTGTTTCCACCTTGTCATATCTCACTGGATCTTTGATCGCTTCTGCAGCAGTCCTCCGGAGAAGAAATGGTAGTTAGTGACTCACATCCCTTTGATATCGAGAGCCGGTGTTTACAAAACTAGTCGGTCAATAGGTTTTACTATCTAGAGGTTGGGATTTACTGCCTCTGAGGCAACAATTGTGCAAATCCTCACGCGAGTTTCCCTTCCTCCTCTCTAGGGTGACACTCGAATGAAAAGACACTGTCCTTTCATCCCAGCTTTTGTGTCACAGGAGGCAGATAACCAGAATTATATGATGGCTTTCTTCATATTGATGAGGTTGTAGCAATTAAAGATAGTGATGGTGTGTACCTCATTGATTTGCAACTTCTACAGAGTTTAAATTAATTGAGAGCAAGAAAAGAATAAAAAACCAGACTAAATAGGTATACTCATATCCTTTATCTGTAAACCCACCCCATTCATTGTTGAAAGTCCTGTGCCCATATCTGTCTGTAGTTATTACTATGAACTGGAAGCTAACTTTGAAAACCCTGACACAAACTAGAGATTATCCTTCCCTATAGTAAGAAGTGTGCTGTGCGTACCCATAAGAAATGTTCTAGTGAGAAACTTGATCATGAGAATCGTTGCATTGTTTTCTTCTGGGGATTAGCAGCATATTGTTTAGCGGGGTCACACTTCAGTGTCCTAATATCTGTTCTCCATGTCTCCTAGAAGACTGTAACTACAGCTTCTATGATTACCACAAAGACACTACCTCTCGTCTTGAAAGCAGCAACTGCGACCATGCCTGCCTCTGTTGTGGGCCAGAGACCTACCATTGCTATGGTGACCGCCATCAACAGTCAGAAGGCTGTGCTCAGCACTGATGTGCAGACCACACCGGTCAACCTCCAGACGTCTAGTAAGGTCACTGGGCCTGGGGCAGAGGCTGTCCAAATTGTGGCAAAAAACACAGTCACTCTGGTAAGCCAGCAGCTGCTACTCATGTGTGCCCACATGAGAGGGTTCAGGATATGCATTTGTAGAGTATATCCATTTTATGCCCCTGCTGGATTTTTTTAGTCTCTGTCATTCAACCATACCAAGTTTTGCCTTTGGGGCTGACAAGGGAGTATGGCATTCCTGCCGGATGCTCAAACAGCTGTAGAAGTGTCCTCGACACCAAGGACCAAAACGCATGCAGTGCGTTACCTGAGGTCAAAGTTATGACCTGGCTTGTGGGGGAACGTCCTTCATAGCAGCATGCACACTGTTTCATGTATCTCTCTCCATCCTGTTCGCAAACCTTCCTGTGATACTCGAATGCTTACACTCTCTGGTTCTGTATTACCGATTTGGGGAAAACTCCCTGCTGAATTCCTTTAGCTCAAATTTAGTTTAGTTGAAATGGGCTGCACCCAGGAAGTCCCAGAGCAAGCTGAGGTGCTTTACAAATATTCGAGAAACCCAAAAATTAACAATGTCCGTGTCCAAGGTCCATCAGAAGAAAGATCCCTTGAAGAAGAAGTACTTGAACCAAAATTGTTGATGAGAGTCTAGGGTAAAACCATTTAGAAACTGTTGCTCTCTGAAGCTTGGGGGAAATAGAACCAAATTGTGGTTTGGAAAAGTCCTTTCTTAAAATGCCAGCTAAGAGCTCTTGGTGGTTTTTGAATGATGACCAGTGACGAGTGAAACTAGATAGCAGTGAAGTGACGCTTCAGCACTTACCAGGAATCTTGAGAGAAGCAACCAGCTGTCTCAGCCAAATGCTGAGAGTTAGAGAGTTCTCTACAGGAACAAAGCTATTCACCGCTAGAGAAAGCTCTTCTATTAGGAAGAAGCCCATTTGGCCAGGCAGCAAGTTTGATTTTACTTTGGATCCAGTCTTGATTTTTATAATACGTACATGCAAGAGTTCTTGAATGTCAAAGGAAATTGTCTAAGATTGCTGAGCCTGCTGTGTTTTACATGAGGCAGGTAAGGAAAATGAAATGCGGTTGGTTCATTTTGTAGGCTGGAGCGTGCAGGTGAGAGAGTAAGACAGTTTTCTCAAGGCAGAGTCAATTCAGATGGGTAATTCTACAATGAAAACTTTTAGAAAGGATCATCTGACCCAGATAATAGCGATGCTAAAATTACTTGAAGAACGCCTAAGCTTTGATATTGAACAATTATTGTCCTCTGGTTTATTTATGTTTCCCATTTTTTAGCAGGTTCAGGCAACACCTCCTCAGCCCATCAAAGTACCACAGTTTATCCCCCCTCCTCGACTCACTCCACGTCCAAACTTTCTTCCACAGGTGAGTAAATTAGTGACAGGCCCAGTGACTGGTTAGCCGAGACAAAAGTCCTCATGGGCCCTTTCTAAGCAGCCTGAAGTGTGCTTATCAGCTCAGCTGTGTTCAGATCTGACTTGGCTGAAGATTCTACCTGCTGATTTCTGTACCATGAAGAGGCGTATTTTATCACCAGGGTTTCTAGGCAATGACCAAAGGCAGTAGCAGAGGAATGAGAAGAAAAGGAAAATTTAAGATAGCACCATTATAAACCTTACAATGTTAACTTACTAGAAATTTAACCAAACCTGCCTACCAGTGGGGAAGGAATATAATTACTACTTTTTTTTTCCCTAGATGCCAAAGAGAGTAGGGAAGGAAACAATAGCCAAACTAACTCGTAGAAACCATTTAGTTTTACTGTCATAGGTGATGGCATTAAGCATCATACTTAAACACAAAGCCTTGCCTATAGAGGTTTAGACTAGGGGTCTACACAGGGACTTTCTACCTGGGCTCAAGCAGCTCTGCTTGCCCATATTCTCCTGATAATCGGACTGAACTCACCATTCTCATTACAGAGTGTCAGGATTGCCCCAGTCTGGGTTTTGAGGGGTAGAAAGGCTAGGAGTTCCCATCTGAGGCCCCATGTGGCAGGCAAAGAGAGAAGAGAAAAGAAATTTGTGTTCAGTGGCCATAAGTGATTTCTGAATTGCCTGTGTGGTAGGGATGGGCATTGCTAATGTGAGAGAAGGTGATTTCAGTCATTTATCAGGTAGATCCTTAATAAATACCTTGCATATCAAAAAAGGCACTAAGCACTGTGGGTATGCCAGTTTTCAAGATAGACTGTTCTCTGTCCTCAGAGAGCTTCAGACATGTGTTCAGACAATTACAGTGTCCATTATGGGAAGTACAGTTTAGTCTGACCACATGTGGGAGGGACACCCAACTCATTCTTAAGTTTTATAGAAAGTTTCATGGAAGAGTTGGCATTCAGTCTGAGACTTAAAATCCTAGTAAAGTTAGCCTGTCCAAATTTGGGGGGAAGAACAAAAATGTCCCAGGCAGAGGGTAGAGCATATATGCAAATCCAGGATGGAGAGATACATGTAAGCTTAAGGAACCAAAGGAGATTTGGTGTGGCTAGGCATAGTGGGCCATGTGGCTGACTCAGGCTAAGGCAAGAGGTGAAGCTGGAGAGGTCCATTGTGCCAGATCTTGTGGCCTTCTAGGCTGTGTAGGAGTTTGGGCAAAAGGCCCTGGGACAAACCCAGGAGCAATGGGGATCCATGAAAGCATTTTTAAACAAATGCTTGAAATGATCAGATCTTTGTTTTAGAAAATTCCCTCTTGCCACTGTGTGGAGAATGGATTGAAGATGATCAAGACTGTGGGCAGGAGGTATAGTTAGGACATCATCAACAATAATAGCAGCTAATGTTTAGAGACTCCCGCTATGTACCACCTACTGTGTTGGGCACTTTTTATGGGTTATCTATTTTAATCTTCACAATAGCCTTGTGAAAGTTAGGTATTACTTTTTTTTAGACAAGGAACGTAGGGCTTAGCCCATGTTTTCCAGACGGTGGGTCATGACCCATTAGTAGGCTGTGTGAAATCAGTATAATGTATTGTAACCAGAGTTTTTAAATAACATCAGCAAAACAGAATGTGAAATGGTAGAGTACCTAGCACACATGTAATGTTTCGTGAAGTTTTTGTTTTGTAGAGATACAGACATATGTCTATGTGTGTGTGCTGGTTACAGTATGAAATGTATTCCCTACTGTGTGTCTGCAGCAGCCACCACTGGCTCTTCTTTTTTTCTTTAAAGTTTATTTATTTTGAGAGAGAGAGCATGCGCACGCGGGGGAGGGGCGGAGAGAGGGAGGCAGAGAATCCCAAGCAGGCTCTACGTTGTCAGCGCGGAGCCCGACGCGGGGCTCAAACCCACCGACCGCAAAATCGTGGCCTGAGGAGAAATCAGGAGCCCGACACTCTACTGACTGAGCCACCGAAGCGCCCCACACCACCGGGGCATCTTAAGTTCAGCTAAATACTCAGACTCACAAGACTGTCCAGGCCCATACTTGGTACCAGTGTACTTGGAACAACGTGAGACAGAAACCAGAGCTTACCAGCAAGACAGCGTCAAGACATTTTGCTTCAGCCCGTATAGCAGTCTCTGCAGCCGTCTAGTGATTGCTGAGATGCGGGGACGTGAGATCCTGAAGAAGACCGTGGTAGAGCCAGCCTGGCACAATAGTCGTATGCTTCACAAGAGCCAGTGCGTCTTGTAACAACTCTGTAGGCATGGCTTTCAGGGTCCTCCCAGTGGACATGCCCGGTTACAAGAGTCACCCCACTGCATGAAGCCCAAAGCAGAGCATCCCATCAAGTATTTATAATGCTCCCTGTTCAGATTCAGTTCGGATTCAGTTTAGCAGTGAGGGATCATTTTTACCGTAAGCGATGTTGCCTGGTAACATAGTTGACATTCTTACCCTTAATCAGGTTCCCAGGGGAACAGAGCTGGAGCGTTAACTGAAGGTCAAAATTTCATGCATTGGGGGAAAGGATTTTGCCCATAGGGTCACTGTATAGAAAATTTGAAAAATGCTGGCTTAAATCAGGTATGTTACTGAGGCTACCTGGCTAGTAAGTGGGAGGAACCAGGATTTGAACCCATGCAAGGCTGACCTCGTGTTTTTCATTGTAATTTTTGTTACCGTTTCAGTAAGCCAAACATAAGTGGCAGTAAGGACCTAGGAAGTAGCCATAATTGAGAAGGATTTAGGAAGTAGAGGTGAAGTAGGAAGCATCAAGAATGGTTCTGAAGTGTATTTAGCAAGAAAGCCATTTACCAAGGTGATGGTAATAGGAGGAAGAGAGGGTTAGAGGAACAAACAGGTGAGTCTTAGACATGTTGATTTTGTTGTTGATGTTGTTTTGAAAGATTTTATTTTTAAGTCATCTCTACACCCAACATGGATGGGGCTAGGACTTAACAACCCTGAGATCAAGAGTCTCATGCTCCACTGACTGAGCCAGCCAGGTACCCCTAGACATGCTGATTTTTAATTTCTTATGAGATTTCCAAGTAGAGATACATGACAGGAAGTTGAGTATATTCGGAAATGTCTGGTCCTGAGATGCAAGTGTGGATGGACGTCTTCAGTACATAGATGGTAATTGAAGCCATGGGATGGGTGAAAAACCCCAGGAAGAGTGAGAAGATTGGGGAAAAAAAGAGGTTCCAGAACAAAACTCTGAGAAACACTTAATGTTTAGGATTGGGCAGAGGAAGAGGAAGTCCACAAATGTGACTTAGAGAGGGAGTGGCCGAGAACAGGGAGTTAGAGAGCAAGGAGCTGGGCTGAAGTGAATTCACGGACATGAAGAAATTTAGAATGTGAATTAAGATCGATGGCCGCATTATTACCATACTGGGCACAAGTTCTGGGTGAGACCAGTCTCTGGATTAGGCATTTGATCTCAACCTGAGGAAGCAGCATGGTATGGGAGAAGGAGCTAAGGTTTGGATCCAGAAGAACCATGTTGTAGGGTAGCATTTGGACACCGTTAAGAGCTGATGAGTCTTCTATAAGATTATATATCCTGATGTGTATAGGACTAATAACACCAAAATGAATATTAATAAATATTGGTACTCAATACCATTTCACATATATAGTATAAAAGACCTGGCAATGTTTTAGACTTACAAGGCTTATGAAATTTCTTGAAGTAATACAGTAATTGTTCTCTCTTTCCCCATAGGTTCGACCCAAGCCTGTGGCCCAGAATAACATTCCTATTGCCCCAGCACCTCCTCCCATGCTTGCAGCTCCTCAACTTATCCAGAGGCCTGTCATGCTGACCAAGTTCACCCCCACGACCCTCCCTACCTCCCAGAATTCCATCCATCCCGTCCGTGTCGTCAATGGGCAGACTGCAACCATAGCCAAAACGTTCCCTATGGCCCAGCTCACCAGCATTGTGATAGCTACTCCAGGGACCAGACTCGCTGGACCTCAGACTGTACAGCTTAGCAAGCCAAGCCTTGAAAAACAGGTACAGGCAGAGTGTGCATCTGCTTGGGGACAGTGGCCTTGCCATTGAGGCCGGGCTGTCTCTAAATACATTCTCTCAAGAACTCTTCTCTTTATCTCAGCACCATTGTCCGTAACCTGTTGCTTATCATGTGATGGTTTATCCATAATGCAAAAGGGCCAGTCTTACTGAAGAAAGTTGGGTTGTTTTTCCCACCATCCCTGCGCAGAGGGATTCAGATTCCCGTGTGAGTGAGCTCCCCCTGCTGGTTCCGAAGCAGAAATTCACAGATGGGTTCTGCTGGTCTCAGTCAGGAAGCACAGAGATATAATGCACAGAAAATGCCTTATTAGTTTCGGCCCAATAAGAATCCAGATGAAGATACGGCTGTGAAAGTCAAGAAGAGTAAACAAAACAAGGGAAAGGATTTCATTTGAAAGATTTCCTCTGGTTATTACAGATAATGAAGAGCCAAATGAAAAAATTAAAATTTCTAAAAAGCATTTTTTAACTCTAGAGAATACAGACATTTTATTTTAGCTCAGATGTTGAAGCCTCTCGTTTATATTTCTAAAGTCAGATTTTCTCTTAAGAATTCAAGGCTAGAGAAATACAAGTAACCTCCAAAAATACTTATGAGTTCTGTAACAGAAGACTTCTAAAAACAAGAAAAAGGATTTATAGGCAGTTACCATATTCTATTTAAAGAAAGACCAGTGATGAGAAAAGAATTTTGCAAAGAAAAGCATCGTCTTTTAAGAAAGTTGCTTTAAAAAGTCATTGACCTATTTCTAATTGCTCAGGCTTGAGTTCTCATTCATCTGAAAATAGTCTCTAGTGATCCTGAATCTTCTGCTTCTGGATGGCTGACCATGATTCAGAGAGGCTGGCCAGATGGTGGGGTATGAGAGGCTTCCTGCTGCCTTGGCCTTCTTGAACAGAGGATCCTTATGCATAGAGCACCCGGCTTTCTATCCAGACAGCTCATAAATGCAGCAGACCTTCCACTAAAAAGCTAGGTATTAAAATCTTGTGCTCAGAAAACACAAGGGAAAACACATCTGTTTTCCTGGAAAGCTTACTCAGACCCCAGAAAGTGCTTTGAGGAACATTTCAGAAATAGTTACACCTTTTTAGATACACCGTGTTAGATAATGAGCTTTTAAACGCATTATCGGCAGAACTTCATTATTAAAACATAAAAGTAAAATACTGAAGCTGAGAAGTTTGCGTAGGGGCATGTCTGGAGATCATCTCCCCTCGTGCCCTGTGCTGGCTCTCAAAGAACGTGAGGGGCCTTAGAGCTCCAAAGAAGGTGGTTTCAAAGCACTCCTTTAGATTACTAAATAGTATTTTTCTTTGACCTCTCTTTCGATATAGATACTTTTAGGAGACATTTTTTTTCAGTTTCCTTTTATTTTTGCATTTCTTATTTTTTCTGATCACATCCAAGATAATACATATTAATTATGAAAGAAAATTCTAACATTATAGAACTATATAATGTACAAAGTGCATCCACCCCGTAATGTGTGGAAAGAGTAAACTTCCCCATAATCCTAACTCCTGACTCTTGAACAGTATGAACAGTTCAGATTATCTTCCTCCATATTTTCTATAATACATTTTTAAAGCAAAAAAACAATCTATATTTTGTAACTTGCTTTTTTTCATGTTAGATGTTGAATATCTTTTCATGTTTTGGACTTATATGTTAATAGAGTTTTTAATTTTAATTTTAATGCTGTGAAAAGGTTTTCAGGAAATCTTAAAAAAGCTTTTCTGAGCAGTAAATTCCATGGTCTCTCTTTTTGTTCATCTAATAGAGGAATCAGCCGTTGCTATTTTAGTTTAGCAGACCACCTGGCATAACAGGCTTGCAGGTTAGCAAGCTCAGTCAGCAGGGGTGCTCTTTAGACTGGACTCCATTCTCAGAATTTTCTTACTTTAGATCTTTCTGCTATCCTTCTTTTCTCTTCTGTGTTTCATTTCCAGTATCACATTTATAGCCATTAGGGGATCTCAGAGATGGGCTAAAGAGTAAAGCAATGTAAATATGTAGCCACAGAAGTACTACTCAGAGTCTGCTCACAGAGTTACCAGAACCTGCGTCCAGCATTCTCTATGTGACAAGGCTAGATGGGTTCCTTTCTGCTTTCTTCTGTTTCTTTCAGGGTGATAACATTCATTTAGTAAAAATACGTTGATTATGTGCCAGTTGCTATGCCGAGTGTGATGCCTAAATACAAGGGTGGATAAATGAAGGCCTATACTCTCACAGAGCTCAATCTGTAGTGCATTTCGAACAGGTATGGAGGCTGTGCCTCCAGGGGAGGAAGCGTGGCAAGTTGTATAGTTTCAAAGGCCTCCCACCTTGGCATAGAAAAGGAAGAAGGGAGTGTCAGTTACAACAATAGTGCCTCACTTCTTCCCCTGTCAGGCATTGCCAACTTCCTTCAGCCCAGATAAGAGCTCCCTGTCTTACCCTCATTAGAAGCCCCATTACACTGCGACTCTGAGAAAATGAGTGCTAGAGTTTGAGGAGCTTTGAGGCTGGAAACATGTTCTAGGCAGAAAAGTAGATGGAACCGGACAGACTTACAGCCCCCATACCGCTGACTTTTATGTCCCTGTCCTCTCTAGCACTCTACAAAATGGGGCTAAACACCTGTTAATGATGGAACGAGCTAAAGCATTTAATTTAAAGTCCATTAGACTGCGCCTGATGCAGTTAGTTCTCAGGAATTACGTTCATTTCTTAATCCACCACACCCACCCCTGCAACAAAGACCTCTGTGTATGTCCCCAAGGCTAAGCTACTGAGAAAAAAGTGCTGGGTTCCCTGTGTGTCTTGGATAGGAACCTACACGAGATCCTCTAAACAGGATCTAAACAGTGCTTCCAAGATGAGAATAGTATCCAATGTATTCTCCTCAACTTCCATTCTTCCCTCTTAGTAAACGTGAGCTGGTAACTCTTCACCTTCCATTTTAACACTGGTGCTCTAGCAGGGAAAAGAGGTCCGAGTGACCAGAGATGGATTTTGCTTTGCCTTCAATCCAAATTTATTCAACCTCAATTGGTGAAACCATTTGGACATGTATTTATTTGCAAGTGACAAACTTTGATTATTCATGCAGCCAAGTCTCAGAAGGTGAATTTGGAATTCAGGGTGTAAGTGGTTAACCTAATTCTAATCTTATTCGGAGTGTTTGATTTCTATCTTTGTAACCAAAAAGAACCGGATTTCTAAATTCAAATAGTCACGAGTGTGAGGCAGTAAATACAAATGAGTAAAGCAGGCTGGAAGTAAACACATGGACTTTTATTTTTCCATTTTCAGTGGGAGCATGAGTATAAGAGATATCCCACTTTTATTCTTAGTTTCTGTTTAAAGTAGTGAGGCAAGCATGACAAAATTTAAATTTGGCCTTGGTATCAGGAAGACCATAGAATGTGGAAGAGACTGTAGTAAATGGGAAAGTAATACGGTCTCAGGGGGCAACTACTGCTTGATAATGGCCAGTTTTTATCCTACAGAAATATTTCCAAGAATGGCCAGAAATCCCGATGTTTTGAGAAGCCACCTAGTTTTAAAAATACTGATAACTGTTTAAACACTATGTAAAGCAAAAACATATCTGCAGGGCAACTTCATCTCTGGACAATAGTTTGTAATCTCTGATAGAGACCAGACTTTTCGCTTACTCCATTTTTGGTTTTTTGTTTTTTGGTTTTGGTTTTCCCCAATTTTTTTTTAACTGAGGTGAAATTCATACCACATAAAAATGAACATTGAAATGAACAATTCAGTGGCATGTAGTACATCCACAGTGTTGTGCAACCACCACCTCTGTCTAGTTCCAAAACCTTTTTATTACCCTAAAATAAAAACCAGTATCTAGTCAATAATTACTCTCCATCCACTCCTCTCCCTCCCACTGGCAGCTGCCAGTCTGCTTGTTTGTCTCTCTAGATTTACCTACTCTGGGTATTTCATTTGGATGGAATCATATAATATGTGACCTTTTGTGTCTGGCCTCTTTCAGTTAGCATAGTGTTTTCCAGATTCATCCACATTATAACAGGTATCAGTACTTCATATCCTTTTAATGGCTGAATAATAGTCCATAGTATGTATATACCGTAACTTATCTGTTCATCCATTGATGGACATTTGGGTTGTTTCTACCTTTTGGCTATTGGGAATGGTGCGCCTATGAATATTATGAATATATGCACAGAATATTTATGTACAAACATTTGTTTGAATACCTGCTTTCCATTCTTTGGGGGTATATACATACCTAAGAGTACAATTACTGGATCATGTGACAATTCGGGGTTTAACTTTTTGAGGAACTGCCACACTGTTTCCACAGCAGCTGAATCATTTTCCATTCCCACCAGCAAAGTGTGAGCATGCTGTTTGCTCCACATCCTTGGTAATGCTTACTGTTTTCCCTTTTTAAAAATTATAGCCATCCTAGTAGGTGTGAAGTGGTGTTTCATTGTGAGTTTGATTTGCATTTTGTTAATGATTAATGTTGTTGTTGGACATCTTTCATGTGCTTTTTGGCCATTTGTATATTTTCTTTAGAGAAATATCCAAGTTCTTTGCCAGTTTCTATATTGGGTTGTTTGTCTTTTTGTTGTTGAGTTGTGAGGGTTCTTTGTATAATCTGGATACTAGACTCTCATCAGATATATGATTTGCAGGTATTTTCTTCCATTCTGTAGGTCATCTTTTCACTTTTTTCTTTTCTGGAAGCCTGTGTTTTCTTCATTTTATGGATAATGTACTTTGATGCCCAAAACGTTTTAATTTTGATGAAGTCCAGTTTATCTGTTTTTTTCTTTTGTTGCTTGTATTTTTGGTGTCCTATCTAGGAATCCATGCTGACATCTAAGATAATGAAGATTTACCATAACCTAATTTTTCTTCTAAGAAGTTGTACAGTTTTAGCTCTTATATTTAAGTTAGTAGTTCATTTTGACTTAATTTCTGTATGTAGTATGAG